AAAAACACGATTTCAAAGAACATCGAACTGAAAAGTTAAAAATATTTTTTAAATAAGCTTAAAACAATAACGAACGAAAAATACTAGTATTATTGTAAAAAAAAGCGACGAGCGCTTGATATACAAAAAATATGGCACACAGCGCCACGGGAGTAAATATGAAATGAAAAGGAGAGTTACAAACAAACAAACATACATACATACATACATATAGGTGAAGCTAATAAAAGCATGGTAATAAAAAAACAAAACCTCCAGCTTCAATTAAAAATATAAATGTCTACTTTTTTTAAGAGCAAAGTCTTTTATTGCACCATCAATGTCTATAACATCAAACACCTCTTGTTCAATAGACAAGATAGCCAAATTTGTTAGTCTTAGAGTACTCATTGTCGAACTTAAAAATATTGGGCAGTGTCTTCCAGCTTATATTTAACAATAAACTTCAATAATTCAAGTGAGTCTGCATTGATTAATTTATTTTCGTTTCCTGTAGCAGCAACGAGTGAAATTTTGCCGCCCCCTGAAAAGTGCCGCTCGGGGCGGGTCGCCCCCTCCGCCTCCACTACGCTACTCCACTGATATACCCCCAGATCAAACAATCAGAAATCAATAAATTTGTAACTTTAACATGATGACATGATAACAAGATGAAGAAATCTGGAGTACCCAAACAGCACCAGATATTCATGGAATATTTCCTGTATACCATAAAACGAACGTATATATTCCAAATATTCATAGAATATTCTTGGAATATATACATGTCTTTAGAATATTCATAGAATATGCTTGAATGAATATGGCAGGATTATTCCCGAAAGAATGTGCATAGAATGTCTATAAATGGATTATTCTCCCTTGAATATTCTAAGAATATTGTCGATCGAATATACCATNTTTAGTATATTTTTTAGTATACATTTGTTTGAGAGTAGGAACATCCTAATTTGAATACATTTCTAATATTTGTAATATGACAGTATTCAGGAATATTTTATTCAGTGAATAAATATTTTGAATTAGATTTTTTATTTTTAATATTGGTTGAAACGTCAAATATTTCAGTGTATATTGTTTTTAAAATATATTTGTTTATGAATATTATGTGTTTTATTACTTGTGTGAATCTTGTATCAAAATGCAATATATACATGCCTAATAGCGGTTACTCGTCACATTCTTGGAATATTCCAAATATTCCTAGAATATTCATAAAATATATTTAAAGAATATTCTATGGTGTTTCTCTATTGTATATTCCTACAATAAACTAAGAATATCCTGAATATTTTATGAATATTCCTCGGGTTCTATTCCTGGAATATTCTTAATAGAATATACCTTAGATATTCTAAGAATATTATAAGATATTCCAAGAATATTCCCAAGGAATATTCTTAAAATATATCAAAGGTTCGCCAGGAGCACTTCCAGGGAATATTCTCCAGAAGATATATATATATCCATGGCATATTCATAGCATAATACAATATCCTTAAATGTTCATGAAATATACCTGGAATATCTATTGCTATGTGGGTATGAATGTCCAGCTTGAATGTCCAGAGTGTATGTTGTGTTATGTTGGACAATGTGGCAGGTATGCTGATCATGATAGGTCCTTCAGAATAAGCAAAAATGATTCGACGTTTCCAAACCATTTCTTGGAATGCAACCACGAGTTTCCGAATCTAAATGATACGGAAATTTTACACTATGCAAACAAGAGTTGGAAACTCAATTATTTGGAATCCTTGAAAATTCATAAGCATTGCGGAAGTAACCTACTGAATGACCAAGTAGATCTTGTCTTATTTTATTTCTCAATTTGCATGAAAAATCATCAGTATTTTCAGATAAGTTTCGAATATATTTTCAACTCACAGTTTTTAAATCGAATGCCAGAATCTGAGGGGGGCATTTTATTTCTTCCAATAATCTTCCAGTATCCAATACCCAAAGTCTGTCACATTCGTCTATCTGAAAAACAATATATCAAGTAACTAATATCAGTCTTACATCTGAAAGGACTAATGAGAAAACATATTTCTGTCACTTATAGTGTGAATTAAAATATTACTCAACAATTTATTAGAAATACAGGGACTAATATTTTAAAAGTAACCATTAATTATATAATGAAGCTAAAACATTAATTAAGAAGTTGTTTTTTAGGAATACCCGGTCACAGTTATTCCACCATCCGTAAAACTTATACTGTAATAAAACACTAATTCAATATAAAACCAATAATTTAAATTTCAACAGGACCTATTTGATTTTGGATATAGTTATGTGATAAACTCATTCCTAGAATACCATCCATCAGATCGAAACTGTCACCTGTAAACAATCACAAGAAAATTCAGGAATTACAAACTGACAATTTCTTGGAGAATATTACTTGAGGGATAAGAGTTTTTTATATGTCATGTCGATTATTTGCTTCATAACGATGAGATGATGAAAACATTCAAGGCTAGGCCACCAAAATAAAGTTTCACAGCGATAAAACACTCTCTCCCAACAGCGATAAAACCGACATCTATGAAATCAACTTCTGGGTGTATCCATTCTTGACTTTCGGGGCTTATTTACGCATCATTATCACAATTTCACGAATTGATCCTGTACCGTTTCCTTCTTCGTTTCTCGAGCGAGAGCAAGAAAGCGTTACATGTGCCCAGTTGGAATGATTTGGGGAGGCAAGGGCGCAGGTCGGTTCTTGATATTTTACAGAAAGTGCTGAAAAGGTTGACCCTATAGAAAGCTCCCATTCGGACGTCATCTACAGAAATTTATAGCAATACTGTTCTTTTTTTCTCAACACTTATCACTATAGACCGACTTAGTTTCACCAGGATAGGAGACACTTGAAGAATACCAATAAAATAAGGAATACGATTTACTTGAGACTTTTGGAAAGGTTTTGCATCCCTACCCTCAAAACGAATTAATGGAAATACTGAATTATCACTATTGAATATGGAGCATGCATTGTTAAATTCTGAAATAGTCTACACATGCAAATGATGGCTTCAGTAAGAAATATATCAAAGCACATGGTCTTACACTAGGGTTTAATACACTAAACCTCACAATTTCTGATCGAAATACTATTTCCAGGAACCATTGAGGCAACTCAACGCTGTTGTTGATACGGGATTCTGGCAGTCTCCTGTGATTCTTGAGATACGGGATTCTGGCAGTCTCCTGTGATTCTTGAGATACGGGATTCTGGCAGTCTCCAGCAGTAGCCACATCAGACCTATGTTCTCTAGCGCAGTCAGACACGTCCAAACGATCTTCTCATTGTATCCTGACTGATCGTGTTTATTCATTTTTGGGGGTAAGTATTCTACAATGTTATTATATACCTCTTCCTCGTGAGTTGGGCTACCTATCGGGCGCGTCCCCAGGTGGCGGATAGGGGAACGGCCAGGGGACTGGGGGCCCTGTCTGGGAAGCCAATATGTGGCTTTACGGACGGGATAGCCGAACTTCTGGTCAGTTGCAGAAATAAGTAGGGTGAGGAGAACTAAAACTCCCCAAAAGCCTTTGCGAAACATGCCACCGTGGATCACCCTACCCAAGCTAAGATGTAAGGAATCGTGCCGACAGGTGAATGGACGCAGGGTGGTATGCGGTTACGAACGATCCCCTTGGGGAACCGGGCGAAACCTCATTGTAATCAGCCTTCCTCTGGTAATGCAGGGCTGTGCCAGAGGTGACCAACTCTTCCCTTGCTACTCGTGGGAATACACATATATGAAACAAACAGACACAACAAAAACCAATCCCGAGGCTGGACAGAAGTGCTCACCCCAATCTATTGTGGTGGCTGGGAATGAACAGAAATGTCCACTCCAATCTACGGCTTGGAATGAGACGGGACAAAGCAGATCACCTCGTGTTGTAATACAAAGGCGGCACATTTGCGGCGCCGTAGCCAAAAGGAGAAAGAGAACTCCACCTCCAACAGCAAGGGCACTTCCTGTGGCGGGCGCCTTGAATAAAGGCAAGGAACCGGCTGCCCCTGCAAGAAAGCGCCCTCACTGGAACAACCCCACTAGGTGAACCCCAGGAAGGTTGAAGAAGCCGCGTTAATGACAGTAATGTCGCTGCACCTTCCAAAGCCTTCGCGGAGGCCACCGTGAGATACCTCAAGGTTGCCAAAGAGAGTGTGTGTTCGGCGAGTCTTTGCCTACACCTGCCGCTATAAAGGAGATGTTTCCTAGTGACCTGTCCACCTTCCTGGAAACGAAAGGATGGACGAAGACCTAGGAGGACAACTCTTCGGGAGGATGTACATACGTATATACATACATATATGCCTCTTCAGTGTTCGTTGTATCCACCTTATTCCCGTTTTTATACTATTATACTGGAGCGCCGTAAGATATATACCTCGGAATACAGGGCAAGTCAGTGAATATTTATATGAACTTCTGTAACGTGTTTTTAACAAGATATAAAAAAATAAAAATTG